GGCAACGCACCGCCGCTCAACTAGCCGGAGTAGGCAGCAGGTAGCAACCTAAGCCGCTAGCAGCACTGCAATCAGCCGCAGGCTTTCATTGAGAGGTCATGTATGCTGCTGTGGGCAAGAAAACTTCCTTCAAACACTATGCATTTATTAGCACAAATAAAGTCACACATTTTAGAATAACACTACAACATGAATGAAGGTAATCCAAAAGTATTATAGGAATGCTTTTCTTCTCATATAAAAACTATTAAAACTCACGTGACTATGATAGATCAACACTCTAGAAAACGTACAGTGAAGCGTAAATATGGAATTATACGAATTATATGCTCCATATGCGATTTAAAAAATAAACCATAATAAGAAAATTAATTAAATTGTCTAAGTTTATGGGGCGCCTGGCATTAAGTTTACCTACCTATTGAAGGTTTCACCTAACGTCGCCTTTCGTGTCTTGCACGTAGCGAATTTTTATCCACAAGATTAGCCGGCATATTCATTATATCAATTCACCAGAACTCTACTCGATGGGTCTCCGATTGCGCAATGTACACGTTGTTGCCAGTCATCCGAGTATTTACTTAACTGGTAGATTTGTATTCATTAAATCTTTACATGTAATTGTAAGTTGAAAAATAACACGAGATTGGTCGCATGAGACGATGTAATTTTTTCCACGTTGATGAAATCGGCCGACGCAAATACTATATCTCATTTATTGGTGAGTAATTTAGCAAACGATGATTAAAATGCTGTCAGATGCGGTATTTCAGTTGCGGTAGCCTCTCGTCGGCACAGGATAAGCGGCAGATAAGACAGCCAAGATTCCCAATAAGGGTAAGGTCGCTCCGTCTGCATCAGACTTGAGACTGCCAAACGCGCCACCTTGCCTACACACCGCAGCATCTCACTATACTTCCATGAGATTAAGAACATGATCATTATACGTCGAATTAGCTAAAGAAATCCTCTAAGCTCGTAGCTTCGCAATGTTCTACTTCTTGTTCAGAGAACTCTGTTTAAAGCTTCTGCTTTAGCATAATCCTTAATCCAACCTTTTAATAGCAGGACTGACGTATGTTTGCATTACATAACTCGCTTAGCATTTCTTTTGACTGAGTAAACTATGAATGACACCAGATCCAGATGTCATTTAGTACTTGTATGAAATATGCATGAAGAATGAAGGTAATACAGCAGCCAAGAACACCATATGAGTTACCTCCGTATCACTTACGTTTTTCATATTATAATGATCACTAATGCTTCATTGGCTATTTCAAATCAATAAGCAATTTAACTTAATCTTTAAGGTCTCCGTTAAATTAAAACGGAACGTGAATTTTAATAAATGGAAGAAAATTTCTGATACCCATCCATCGAATTTGGACACCTGAATTTGTGATCACAATAATTGCCCAAAATTAATCATGAAGTACTCCAGGTTTAATGCTCACGTGAAATAACGACAATAAAACTATTTATGATAAACAAAATAGAACAGTGAGGGAATTTAAATTCGACAACGAAAAATCAAGGCAACTGCCACTATGCGACATTTTTAGACTCGAACACCGATCAATCTAACTTCAGTTTTGTTCAATAAACGTTTAAATAATAATTTCACCTATAAATAAAAAGATAAGTAGATTTAAATCTTTCTAAAAGCATAATTTTACACGTTACCTATTGAACCATTTCATTCATAAGCGCTCTATTAAAACAGCAACTTTAATGCTTTGCAAATGAGTGACCTCAAGTGACATTTTTGTTAATTGGAGTGCTCTTGCTGGGGCTCAGAGTTACGCTGTAATTTGAAGAACCCACAGCAATTAACAAAGCCGTTTTATACCAAGAAAAAGCTCAGTTAATTACGACTAGCTCCCCAGCTGCAACAAAAGGGAGCTTTGCTCCATATCGATAGCAGACCTCCTCATTGGTCCGATAATGCAGTTTATGAAAGAGAAAGGAGGATCTTCCAAAGCTAATTTAAGGCAAAACGATTAGAAGACCTTAGACTAGATTTTAATTGATTCTGGAGGCTTTCGTGTCTTCAGATTCTTATTTAACCGATACGTTTAATGAATATCGTCGAATAATAACCATCTATTAACATATGGAAGCAGTTTGGCAGTAGCGACATCGGGCAACTGCAATTACCAATGCAGTAGCGACTTCTGGCAACTGCTACTAACAATAATTCCACTTTTCACGCCACTCGCTGTTAACGCTCTCCTAAATCTTTCAAATAGGTCGTATATAAAAACTACTGTATGAATTGGGACGCTAGAGGTATCTAATTTTTCTATGTAATAGCGGGAATCATTCCCATACGGCAAAAAAATAAGATGTATGCTATTCAGAAGAAATATGATTTAATTTAGGGATGTCCGGTAATTACATGAATGCTAACACTACAATGAAAGATATGTATAGCTGACATTCTCACTCTTGTAAACGCGCCACAGCTGCCAAACTATGCTTCCAATCAATGCCAAAATTTAGCGGTATACTCTTGAATCATCACACTTTCAATTTTTACTGCCCACATTTGTCCATCTATCCTCTAACAGGAACAATAACCGTTTAAAGTTGAGCATGGGAATTACCGGACGCGGATTTGTACGGTAATGTGGGCCTGGTCCGGTTATGTGTCCCAAAATGCCCGGTAATTGTTGGAACTATGAATATATATATATATATATATATATTGGTGTAGTTCGGCAAAAGCTTCTCTTTTATGCAAGTTTGATTGAAGACCAGAGCATGCTTTTTATTTACAATCTTCTTGTTCGTCTTTTCAATGAGTCGAACCAAATTTCTAGCTGGAGCCGGGAGATCGAAAAGCAGGTTTCCGAATGACATTTTAATATATATAAATTTCAATATAATATGGCAGAATATGCTTTTTTTGCACTCGTACAAATAATGATTAGAGAACTTTTTAACTTAAATTATGCGTTATTGTTCTTTAAAGATATTAAAATAAGTATCAGAGGCTACGAACACATGACGCCATCATCTTCTAGTAGTTATGCAGCTCTTCCATTCTTCCACCGTTCAATACACTTCCTGCGTTCGTGCTCTCTGTGGTAAATTTACGGTGAGGAAGTCGTCGGTGGATCGTCAGATAGGAAAAGGTGAGTGGTGGCATCTCTGTTGATGGAAAACGGATCATCACAAGCGCGTCTTTGAGGAAGTATTACGTAACTCAGGACAGGAAATGTGTAAAATCCTTAAAATAGTAAATTATCAGTCAAGGTTATTCAATTCAATTAAATTCCTGCGTGAATTCAAATGGACTGATGTATGAATGTATGTGTTTCATTCATCTTCAATATAAGTTCTACATACCAGTGTATTTGACCACCAAATCAATCAGTATAATCCTAACACAAAACCCAATGTGCTTCTCCGCGATATCTACTCCTGGTTAATTAATAATTCTCCAAAGGGGCTGATCGGCAATGTTACTGCCCAACAAAAGGAGTTGTAATTGTTATAATGTTATGAATATTGCCGTGCTGGACGCAAGCAACGTGAAAGTTACCTGTCGTAGCGTGAAGTTGCTCCGCTAGTGTTAATGCAAGTCCTAAAACTTAATAATATAACGATGTTCAGATCACCTACAAAGGTGTTGATGTAACCTCACGATGTAACATCGCAATCTAACAATAACGTCATTCAGAATTCGAAAGCAAAAAATAATAATAATAACTAACTAAATAATAAAATATGTAAACAAATAAATAAGAGCCAAGTATATCCAGCATATCGTCACTGAAAACTTTTTGGAGATCAGCTGAAGAAATGATGGAGCTGCACTCCGAAACGTTTTCAATGACGATTTGGTCAAATTTAATGGGTGTTTTATTTGTTTTTAAATTCCTGGTGAACTTGAGATTTAGGCAAAATAGTAATTAAAGTCCATCTAGCTCTATAGAATTTATTTCCTAATTTTCTTTAGATGTCGTAACCTCACTCAAGTAACTCGAAGCGCGTGGTCTCCGCATCGTTTGTCCTGATGCCCTCTCCTTGCAGCAGCACCAGCAGCCGCATTGTCTCCTCCTCACTTAAAAATGACGCCATCAGAGAAAGTCCACCGAACCTATGAAACGATATGCAACATAAATTAATTTCCTTCAGAGAAATTTTCTGGAAACTTAGAAATAATAATCAACTGTACAGAATGGTATTGAATACTGTATTAATAATGGTTTTTGGAAAGTATCGTCACTTTCCTTAAATTGGCTAGCGGGAATGCGGTTGACGGTCATTAGAGTTCAGAAATTTGGCACATAAATAAACGAATGGTAAACCCAGTTACGACTATACTTTTCATTTGCCCGAATACTAAATTAGGAAGTAGCATAATACATACTAAATAATATAAAATCTCAGTCGAGTGTATGAGAAATAAAAATGTGATGAATTGCATAGAATTTCAATTTAAATTTTAGATGCATCAGGTGTGGTCACAAATAGGAAATTTATTCAGAGAATTGACAAGACATTGACAATTAATTTGACATTCAGATGCGTCAGATATGTACTATTTTGTTCACCCGATGTGAGGCTCCGACAACATGAAGGTAAGAAAAATAACCATTGTGAGTAATAAATCGCTTAACCCACTCTACAGAACACGTGAATTTTTATTTGCTCTGTCATTCCATTCCATGCCACTATTTAGCTTACACGTCAACGAATTTAAGTTAAGTAGAATCATGCGCTAATGTTTTTTCAGTAGAAGCGGGAAAATCCAAATAAAATGTTAACTTCTACTCTGATTAAGAAAATCGAGCATTTATTCTATTTGTGGAAGCTGAGATATGCTTACGAGTAAGAGATCAGTAAGAGACCTCTATTCACATGATCCAGCATAAAAGTGAAAACTTGTAAAAAAATGCGAAAAGCATATTCTAAAGACAAATAATACGGAAATAGCTCCCTATTACATTTGAATGTCGTCATTAGAATCAGGTGCACATTGTAGTTAGCTACAGGACGGACCTTTTATTTTTCGGTGAAAAAATGGTCACTGTCTGAACCACGGCCTCGCAGCTCCCTGGTAAGGGTTTGAAGACTGTAAAGAGGGGTGGTGGGTAAGATGGTAATGGTAGTCTTGCTTTTACTGCGGTGCTTATTACGGGTGTAGTAACATCTGTGTGGAAAATCAGATTAATTATAATAACTCAAGGACATTTAGGTTGCAGCCAGATAAAACTGGATAGTCCTAATTTCCCATAAAAGTGTTTCTCGGCATGGGACTCCTCCCCATGAAATATAGAAAGGTTTATTAAGACAAGTGTTTAATTTTATATTATCAAGACACGTCAATTATTATTTATGTGTAAACACGTCTTTGATTTAATGAACACAATAATTTGTGTACATATTGCTAATATAATATAGGCAGCCTGAACAAGCTTAGTGTTAGAAATAAGTAGAATGTCAAGAATTCATGGATTTTATTTATTAATTATTTTATTGAATCTGATCTAGGTAAGGTGAAACGGCTTTAAAATTTCGGCGATACATTACACCTTTTGGCCCTTTCGCTTAAAAAATTCTGAAGAAGTTTAAACATTACTCAAAATCAGTTCATGCTAAGATCACTCAAAATCAGTTCATGCTAACGTAATGATTAATTATTAAAGAGCTCATGTTTCCACTAATATAACAAGCAAGTAATAGATCGCAATACTGTAAATATTTATAGAGACAACTAATTAGTTCTGCAGTCTTTAATTTTTTTGCAGTCTTTAATGTCGCTCGGAGTTATGTGTTAATTGGCAATTTTTTGAATTGCCATTAATTTAATTGAGCTGAAGCTGTCAAGCAGTTTCTGAGCTCGCATGGAGCATTCGTAGAGTAAGACGGACTTTTTTTAACCTCCCGTTGTCTAACAACCAATGTTACAAGTAGCAGAGTTCTCCTTACAAAGCTTATGAGCACGAGTGTATAAGACGACCGATCAAGGAAGTTAGCACTGAATTCATCCTCTGGGCTAAATTATCCTTCTTTGAGACTTCACCTTGACAGATATCTAACTTTGAAACAATGGTGAGTTGATATAAATTCGCAATGTCGAAATGAATAAGGTAATAAAAATAGCTTGAAAAATGATTATTTGCCGGTTTTACAAACTTTATTTTGAATTATGTTTGTTGAACATTGCAACCTGATATCAACTCGTAATTACGAGTATTTCAACGTCTTGTACTTCGAGGAATGGAAAGCTTTCCCCCTCATAACCATAGTAATTGGTACTTCAAATTGCACACGCGCTTGAAACAAAAAATGTACTCTTAAATTTTTTTCGTTCTTTGAAAAGTGGTATCTGCGCTCCATTTAGATTTGGTCATGAATAGGTACACTTCTATCATGGCGTGAAAAATCAAACCTTGGAGTCACCAGCGCGGAATGCGATTTTAAGCGAATAATCAAAATGCATTGAATTAGAAAATTAACATTACATGCACGTGAAATTCCAGTGTTTCATTGAGAATACTGACTGAGCATCGTATATTTGCCGAGCAGTGGAGTGACATCGAGCAGAGCATCGAGACAGGGGCACAAAATTGCTTCTTCGGCAGTAGAAGCTAAAGCTGCTACGCCTGCAGCCGTCTTGAGAAAACCCGTAAAGCTCCTGATTTTGGACCTGAAAAATCAACAAAAATTCTGAACTTGAAGCTCTAAAAACAAAAAATTTTAGGCATAGTGCAAAATTTATCAAATAAACATATATATCAAAAGTTGACGTTAATCAATTTCTGGAACGCTTTTGTAAAGAATTTCAAATTCAAACGTAAAAATATATTTTTCGACATTAACTATCTCAATTAAGGTTATTGGAGTTTTGATTTTTTTGTTGATGAATCCAAAATATCCGACAAAGTCCTCCTCAAAACTAGAAGTAAATTTTCTTGCAACATCTCGCGCGAAATATTTAATATATGTAAAAAAACACATATTTTAGAAGCGGCCAAAAAACGTTATTCCGCTGTAAACTTTCCCGTCAGACCCGGACCTCGGGAAATGTGTAGACACGTCTTTGATTTAATGAACACAATAATTTGTGGACATGTAGCTAATATAATATATCAGCCTATTCAAGAATGAAAAGAATGATGGCTCACCTGCCATTTAACAAAGACTGAAGCACACCATCGCTGGTTTTATATACCGAGCCTAAGTTCAAAAGGTCAAGGATCAAGTTTCCACTGTGACATTGCACTATCTTCAGCCACTTGAGTGAATCCAGGGTTAGAGGCGACGTCTTCACCATAACGCTTGAATCGGGAGAAAGAGGCAGCATCATTGCAACCATCTCCAAGTCATGACCTGTAAAAGATGAATTCGTGTCGATTATTAGTTTCACTTGAGATCAGTCAAAGTTTTGTTTCTTAAACTGACGCGAAACTTGGTAAATACTCTTTAAACTTTCGTCGTGTTTTCTAACAGGAACTCGCAAATTTAATAAATAAATTGTTTTAATATTCATTGGGTAGATTGAGAGCAGGCAACTTCGTTTGTTACATGAAGACGGTCCTTAATAGTATCTAAAATCCACCGTAGTTGTTTCATATGGAAAATTATTACGTAGATGTATTACCTTACCGCATTCAAGTAATGAAAAATGGCGCCTACTATTATCAAGAAACTTTTAATAGCGTCGATTTATCAGCAAACTTTACTTGCCATCTTACGCACATATGACACGACTCAATACTATACTAATGATGGCATCTAGTGTACAAAAAAATCACAGCTGTGTGTCATAAATCCTCCTATGTTTCTAGATCTCTCAATAGAGAAAAGTACAGCAATTACGGATAAGTTTGTCGAATTTCCTAGAATGCTCACGCAAGAAAATCACAATTCTTAATTTCTAGGTAATCGCGCGCTTTTTTCTCAATAATTGATGTAATTGTTAATTTTTGGTGTAAGGAAGAAGATTGTTAATGAAAAGTATGCTATGATCTTCAATCTAATTTGTTTTTCAAGTAGCGACTTTTCCAAGTTGTCAAATCCGACGATTCCTCACGATGTAAAGTTTATGTAATTCTTACTTGTCTCTATCCTGAACACATTGTCTTCGCTCCAGCCTTTAAAAGCTGCAAAGAAGGCAGTCTTCAGCTCGGGCTGGAGTAGGCGTGTCGCCATTCGTGAATATTCTTCCTGTATCATTCGCAGCACTTCAGGTCGCTGAGCCTTTAAGAAATTATCACAACTAGCCTGCTCCTGAGCTAGGATTTGTTGGACGGCTCTTTCATTCCTGCAACACAATACTCGAATATAGAGCAATTCCCAAAGTATATTTGGCCAGGTATACTTTTTTTGCATGTATTCAATAATTTCAAAACATAATACATTTTCATGATATCAGAGTGGAAATAAACATTGTGAGTAGTCACATGCCTGACATTCTCAGGTGCCTTCATACGATTTCATTGAAATGTTGCATTAAAGAACTACAATTTAACTCTAAAATCAGGTCGAGAGTGAATGCCACCGCTCTACATGTAATAAATATGTTGCATAGTCTTGGCGGTGAGAATCTTTACTTAATCCTATCCTACGGTTTTTAATCATAATTCAAGGGTAAGCTCATTCAGGATCGAATATCACCTATGATGTCAACATTGCGTCGAATTTTCCCAATACTCAATAATGTCTCGTGCGTTAGACATTATGCAAAAAACTATTGTTAAACTTTTATTCGAAGTTCAGCTCATGCAAATTTAGTATTTCTATTTATTTTTTCGCTACTCAAAATTCATTTTCATAAGTTTATATAAGTAAAAAATTCTGGATACGGACATAAAGAGGAGCAATTTATTTAACTAATAAAAGCTTCATCCCAATATTTTCTAGAATTTGCGCATTCAATTGCGAGATAGTAAACGAAGATTTGCGGTGCAAGTAGCTAAAATCTGTCAGTCCACTTTACTCACCCGCTGAAATCATGGTTACCCGCGTCACTAAACCAGGGAAATTTGAGTACACCGCGTCACTCACCCACTGAGTTCTGGGAGATCGTCGGCTATGCTCAGCATCACGTTGTCGTAACTACCCGGGAAAGGTGTCTCGAATGTTAGCAATTAATATGCAAGAAAAATGTCAAGTAAATATTTAGAGCTAGGCTTTTCTTTCGTTAAGAAGAAATCTCATCTTACGCAACAAATATTTTTGAATGATTACTGTTTTCAAATCAAAGTACTGTATCTATCTGTTTTGCATTTATTATTACAGAAGCCAACATTAAAAATTCAAATTAACCTTGTTGAATCACTCATCGCACTAATTTTTTATTCAAGATTATACTAATTCGAATTAAAAGGGAACATATAGATCTGGTATTTAATTTGAAGAAACTTGGCGCAAGAGGCAAAATTCTCCGCCAGACCGGATGGAATACATCCCCTCTATAGTAGAAAAAATACATTTCTAAATTTAATATATATTCTTTTGCATCTTCAATATTCAATTATGTAAATAGGTATATAAATCCATTTACTAATATATTATATCGAATCTCGTTATTAATTTTTATCATAAATTCTTGTAAAACTAAATATTTTCTGGTATTCAACACAGTCAGGTAACATTAGAGATAAAGTGAATTACCCACACGTATCCCACAATTGGTGCTAGAAAACTGTGAACTGTGAAAACTTCTTGAAGGGGAAGAAAATTTACACTTAGCATCTATTTCGTTGAAAAATGGCTACTTTCAATTATGAGTTCAATTAACCGTTAACTTGATTGTCCATGACTCCCCAACGAGCCTCACGGTGTGTCGCTAGGAAATAATGCGAAGAAACAATAGATGGCACAGTGTGACCAGAAAAGGGGAAGGTGAAATACGAGTAAGGGGCAGTACAAGACGAAAATGAGTGCTATGGGCGTGATTAAGTTTCTGCTGGGTTTTTGTGGTAATATTAGGATTTTGTTGGAGTGATAGGAAACCCGTCAGGGCTTTGGATGTAAAAGGAAGTCAGGGGTGAATATTGGGTCAACATTCAAACAATTATGGACAAGTATTTGAGAAAAAAAGTTTTAAGGATATTCATTTTGCTTTTTTGATTATTTAATACTTTGGATTTTTCAGATTTTTTATTATTTAATATCTATACAGGTATTTTTGATGGGTGATGATGATAGATGAATAGTTATGATGGTGATGCTGAAGGTGTTGAGTTGTTAGAGCGTCAGGTATTTTGTGGTTGTTCTCTAATTCAACCTCTTGAGAAAAGCAGCTTGGGGATGACTGTGGGAAGTTATAGAGGAGGAACCACGTGTGCTTGTGATTTATGCTGTTCTGTTTCTTTGTTAGCTAGCGATGTTTTTATAAAGGATTATTTTGCATTGAAGTCATGCACCATTTTAGACTCACCAGGTAATGCTGCATGTCCGGCCGTGAACTGCGCTCCTGACCCCATCCTGCTTCAGTCGCACCAGCAATTGTTGTACTTCATCTTTATTCAACTCGCAGACTGGCAGCAAAATGCTGCCAAATCTGCACACGTAACAACGAAAAAGTTTCAAAATATTCTACTGAGTGCATCGAAGTAGATCTACCCACCTGACTAGAAGCCGTGACCATGGGGATGAAAAATGTGAATAACTCTCTACTGCAAACAATTACGATACACAGTGCTTGTAAAACTTATCCGACACAACGGAAAAACATTACTTAATTAAAGCTTATCCCACAAAATAACATAGACAAACACTATTCAATGAAAATTTACACGGGAAATGCAAATTTCATATCAAAGCAACATCATTAAATTTTGACTTGATAATTGCAATTTTGTAAAAGTTAAGGTTCAAAAAGTATCCAACAAATAGTAAAAAATAATTTGATTCTCCAATAATTTCTCCTCCATTAAGTTCGGGGGAATATTCTAGAATCAGAAAACGTTGGAATATTCTAGAATGCAAAAGAACGGCATAGACATTTTTCTAACTGCAATAATTCATTACCTGATATGGTCCTTAGAAAGTGGCCTGAATTTTAAGCTCTTCAACAATACCTGAAACTGCGGAATTGTCTGAATCAACCAGAAAATCAACAATTCAGCTATCCAGAGATGGTTTGGGATATAGAAAAATTTCATTTGTGTTAAATATCCCGATTTCGACAGTCGGTGATACTGCTCGGAGGGGGAAATCATTCCATCTTTCGACAAGTCTACCTCGTTTAGGGCATTCTAGAAAAATTTATGACCGTACAGCTAGGAATTCAGTTCGAAAAGTACAGAAGAATCATCGACTGACTCGCTCTGAACTGCAAAAATACTTGCAATCAAGTGGGTCAAATGTTTGCATGAATACAATTAGGACAGTTCTTCGAATGAGAGGATTCCACTCTCGTTCGCCAAGAAAAAACCCTCTCATGAAGAAAATTCATGTAAAGAGCTGCCGGAACTTTGCTAAAGAGCATATGAGTAAACCTTTATGCTTTTGGGATAAAATATTATGGTCAGAAGATACTAAAATTGAGTTGTTTGGTCGGAACTGTGTCAGTCGTGTTTGGAGACAGACGATGTCTGCGTTTTACCAGCAGTTATACCGTCCCAACAGTGAAGTTTGTAGGTGACAGCACAATGCTTTGTGATTGTTTCTCTTCTGAAGGCCCTGAGGAATTAAGGGGGGCGTATACCCTAAAATCGTAAATTTTGGCTTCTCCGCTTTTTATGCTCATCTTAAAGCTACATTCTGCCGCGTCTAACGGTACCAAAACTATCTCTGTACGTTGATTTATGCGTTTACGGCAGATCGCGAAAGAGTTACTCTGCGTGAATCCTTTAACAAATACCTGCCTAAGGAAATTCGAGCCAAGCACATATTAGTGTGCTCTCTCAGCCTCGGGCTTCAGTTATACCCGAGCTGTCATAGGGAGGGTGTTCATGCCGTCGTTCTCTGCATCGATGACTCGTTTCAGAGTGAACTAACACGTTATTTGAGTATCTTGGCTACCAGAAATGTCTTTATATAGCGCGCGCGCCGTCAGAGGGGGTTTTTCGGTTGTCCTGAAAACCTCCAACCGCTCTCACTGCAAACCTATCTCCTCCTAGAGTTTTGAAGCTACAGCAATGAGACATATACCATTCGATTCGTAGAGACCATACCTATCGAGTAACGAAGCCTTTTTTAGCGTATTTTCTCATTTATGAAGAAATGCACTATTGTGCTCGCCATGTCCGTCTGTCCGTCTGTCTGCCCGTCCGTGATTTCACGTTTTCGTCGACGAGAAAATGTGCTTTCTGTCACTCACTGCAGTGAGTACCGAGTTATATTTTTTAGATTTGTGCATAGTTTGGATTGAAAATGGGGGGGGGGAAGGAGGGGGGGAAACAGAAGAAAATGAGAAGAAAACGGGAAAATGCGTGTAAAAAAACTAAGGCAAAAATCCAAAATCGTGCTTGGTTACTCGATTGATATGGTCTTCACGAATCGAATGGTATTCTTACGATGCTGTACGTATCTAGAAAACTAGGAGATTTTTAAAGTACCCTCTTTTTCCGTTTTCCATGAATTTCACGTTTTCTATGAATTTTTCTGAAAAAATCATACGAACAAGATGTGCTTGTATTTCGGTCTTCCACATAAGAGTGAAGTTTCAGAACGATCCGTTAGTAAATGTGGAAGTTTTTCTGGAGGGTATACGCCCCCCTTAAAAATCGTAGAAGGAAGGATGAACTCCGAAATGTATAGCAGCATTCTTGAGAGACGCATCTTGAATTCAGCCGAAAAATTGCACCTTCTTCGACGTTGGATATTCCAACATGGCAATGACCCTAACCACACGGCTAGGGCAACTCTTGCATGGTTTCAGGAGAGGGACAGTGAGTTATTGGAATGGCCAAGCCAATCACCTGACCTCAATCCAATTTAAAATCTGTGGCGGGATTTGAAATTGAGGGTACAGGAGAGAGATCCAAGAAATCTTATCCAATTGAAAGATATATGCAAGGAAGAGTGGGCTAAAATTCCCATTCGCCTATGTTTTAATCTTGTGAACAAGTATTGCTATCGGTTAGAAGCAGTTTTGGCTGCTAACGATCACATGACGAAGTATTGAGTAAATTTGTTTACTATGTTCTGGATACTTGTTGAACCTTGAATTTTACAAATTGCAATTATCAAGTAAACACTTAATGATATTATTATTTTGATACGATATTTTGTATACCCTATGCGAATTTACATTAGAATAGCGTTTTAATGTTATTTTGTTGAATAAGCTTTAATTAATTTAAGTTTTTTCTTTCTGTCGGATACTTTATACATCCACTGTATCATTTTACGATTTTTGATCGCTTCAAGTTTTGTACATTCACTCTATACATGGACCTTTTGGTGGGGGGAGCAATAGCGTGGACAACTCGGACGACTGCCTCAAGGCTGCCTGGGCTGACGTCATACAGAGTTAGTCCTGGTGGGGGCTGGGCTGGCAGACGCACACCGTGACCGAGTGCCTCACCGGGCATGTCCCCAGCACCGTGCTCCTCCTGGCACGGTGGGGGTTGGGCTGGCTGAGATAACGCAGCCCAAGCTGCATCCAACGGCCAGATTTCCACTTCTGTGAAGCATGTAAATATTACGTATTTGCGTTTTTCAAATTCTAGATATTAGGGAAATTCCAACAATCTCACGGGCTAATTTTTTTTGCGTGGATGGTTGCGTGCCTGTCGTTATGGATATCTAAAAAAAACTAGTTATGTTCTGTTACGTGCGGATAAAACATTACGGTAAAATGAAGCAGCTCTAATTGAGCACTCTACTCTTACGCAGACGCTTGTATTTGCCCCGTAGGCCGTCCAGGTTGATAGGGGTGGGCATCGAAAGGTTCAGCTTAGTTGTGGCCGGTGTAGAAACTGAAGCTACGGCGGTAACGGCAGCCGCACTGCTTATACAGCTCACCAAACTAAAGAGCTGACACCTGCACATGCAAATTAGAGTAAGGTAACCTGCACATGTATGAAAAGTAAGGTATACTTGATGAGGCTATTGGTTACACTTCTAGAAGAATCGGTTCACGCACGCAAGCGATCATCTGCCTCAAACGTAGAGGAACACACCTAGATATCTCGACAAGTTATCACCTATAAAATGTTGACGTTTGCTGGCCAAGAGTCGCTGAAACATTTATGGGGATAAACACTAAAGAAAAACATTCCTGACCTGGATCCGTTGAAACAATCTAATAGATCGTCACAGGGCTTAGGTATCTTCTGCAAGCCAGCAGAGATGTCCAGCTTCAGACCACCCTGATGGATGCGTGTCACTTCCAACCAGGTGGAGCTGGCAGCACGAAGCACAGCAGATGGTAACTTGATGTCGATGAGTCGAGGCTTCTCGTATTGCAACATTAGTGATATTGCCGTCAGATCATGAGCTGGAACAAACATTATAATAATTATAATTCGATTCATTGACGACGCACGATTGAGGTTTGTAAAAATACTGGATTTGTTTGGCAGTCATTTTCAAATTGCGGATTAACCTATAGAAGGACGTTGTCTAGGTTAAACAACTAGTTGACTTATTTTGTGTATTAAAGAACACAATATGAAGGATAGTAAGCAAGAGTCTGAACAGCTTGTTGGACGAGAGCTCAAGGCTATAATATATTTACATTCAGAGCAAAATGTTCATTAGTCTACGCTGATATGCCTTAGTTTGCGTATAATCTATTAATTAAGTATAGCTCTGCATCAACCTATTCAAAGTACAGAGATGAAGGGCTGCAGCAAATGCCATTAAAACATTTCCATCTAATTCATACATCTCATTAGGCACGAGAAGTTTACCAGCAATAACAATCACTATTGTCTCATTTGTCTCCAGCCAGCCCAGCCATATAGGCTACAGAGCTTCCTTCATGTTAAGATTTAGTAACATCCGCGTTGTTCTGTTCGAGCTATCATGCACCTACATGCTCGTGTGATTTTATTACTGGCATCTAACTTCGTTAATTTCTACAACGTTGTAGCTAATCGCATGAACCATTTCTAAAGGCAGAGTAAACATGACTTGGTAGAGGTGAAGGCATTTGCTCTAGTTTTATTTTACCCGTGAACTGAAATGTGCATGCAATTATGCCAAACTGTATCTCACGATGTCAAACATATTTGAAACTAATTCTGAATGACTGATAGAATGACTGACTTAATATCTATGATTTGCACAAGAACACTTAAGGCGTTACCAGTAAAATATTACATGAACTTACTCAGTATTTCGGAATGGTTTAAAGAAAATTCGGAGGCTGCTCGACTTAAATTTTATGGAGATTAGACTATTGGATAAATTCTACCATGGATTAGTTTCACTCACTTGAGTATACGTGCCACTTGTCAGTCTCGGCAATCGTGATCTTTGCCGCGTGTTTCGCCAGCTCCGCGACGTCAGGACTTCTGAGCATCAACTCCTGCCAGTCGCTGCCGCTGGTGACGCCCGCATTCATGAAAGCCTTCATTAACTCCGGCCAGCGTTTGAGAAACTGACGTGGGTTGCTGTTGAGGTCTTGCATAACGATTATCAGCACATCCAGAAGACTGGAAGGATAAGAATAGGGATGATAGTTTTAATACTGTTTTGTAATCTATATATGGACATAGTTATTAAATGTTTATTGATCAATACAATCAATATTATTGATTTAATCGAATTTAATTTATGTCAATCAGAAAAGATCCTTAATGGAGCTGTGAAAATGAAAACTTAACGCCTCTGTGAGCAAAAATATCTAAATTATAATTATAATTTGGCGCGTAACATTTCAGCGTTGGAAGTAATATTATTGTAATATAATTATTGACACATTTGAATAAGCATTTAATATGTAAGTAGTGAACAAAAATTATAATCAGAATTAAATAGGAACGAATCTAATCACTAATAATGTGCATAAAGTACACAGGAGAATATTTAATGTTAAGTTCATAGTTCCAATATCGATGTTTATCGAATGAAGTGTCTGCAAAAATAATACCCAAAATTGACAACCTACCTCGACTTCGTTTTCAGGTGTTTCCCCAGCATTTCAAGAAGAGATTTATTAGTGTTCATCGCACGCTGGGAAATGTAAATGGCAACAGCCATATCCAGTAGGGATTTTTGTGGTAAGGAGTAGGTCGTGACAAGGCTACCAGAGAGCGATCTATTAATTCTGAACATGGCTGATATGAAAATTCCAGCATCAATTTCCTTATTTGCACCATGTTTTTTTAGTATTTCATAGCAGTGACGCTTGAAAGGGAGAAGTTCGTCGTCAGTGAAGGTTGTCATGTTGCAGGCGAGGAACTCCAAAGCCATAGAACTAATGACCATGAATACCTCATCAATTAGGATTTCTTTGTTGGCGACGAAGATGCCGTCGAGTCTTTCCTTGGCAATGTTTTTTTGTAGCTGCAATGTGTCCCTAGACACGTCGTTGAAGTTTCTCCATCGAGTTATCTTCTCTGGAACTTTCATGCAAATGGAACAGAACTGCAACAAAGAGATTGGCTCCGTGAAACTCTGCTGCAACGTAGGATTAATCTTGGAGAATTGTTCTGGCATTGAGCCTGAGGTAGCTATGTCGTAGGTCAACTTCTTCTCATAATTCTCGATGAACTTCAACTGAGCTTGTAGCTCTGAGAGAGGTGCAATGTTATAATCAGAATGCTTGCAGTCTTTTTGAGCGATTAGTTTTTTGAGCTCTCCTGTGGCCTGAGTGCGAGTTGTGATGAGGATGCGGGAGTCGGTGTGCCATGTTTTCTGCAAAAGCTCACGGAAAACCGCCATTGAAGTTTTGTTTGTCTCATCAAAACCATCAATCAAAAAAAGCACGCGGAGGGAAGAGAGGGCTTTCAAGAAATTTTTCTCCACTATTTCTGAGCACAAACACTCAAAGTTAGCCATTAAAACTTGCTGTAAATTGCCTGTTGTTCTATCCTTGCAGTCGAAGTATACAAGAGTTTCAAAATCCGGTACATGAATCGAGACGTTAGAGGTCAATTCAGAATAATCGAGAATTATGTTCTGAATAATGGTCGATTTACCTGCTCCAACGGCGCCTGAAACAAGCATGATTTTCTCACATGACGAATCAAATAAATTTTGGAGAGATAGCATTTTATTTTCTTCGCCTTGTACTGTCAATTCAAGAGGGTAAAACACTTCTGACCTTCCAACACGGCAACCAACGAAAGGTAGATCTTCTTCTATTAACGTATGAAAGCGATACTTTGCAACAGCTTTACCCTGAGTAAGGATGCGGTAGCAGTGGGCAGCCATCGCTCTCCCACCAGGAAAAAACCCACAACGTATTTCAAGTTCCAGCTCTTTCTCAATTAATTTTGTCTCCTCAGGATCAAGGGCATAGAACTTTGCAGCTTCTTTGATCATCTGAAATAATTTATTCTCTATCTCTTTAAATTTAGTTACATCTGCCATTGAACAGTCTTGATACATTATATCATTTCTGACGCATCTAATAGCCTCCACTTTATCTAGCAACTCCGTGCTGTCCTTTTTATCTTTCAAGAGACCTTGAAGAAGAGAAGCTAATGCTGTTATGTCCATGTTTTCGGTGGTCGTGCTGGTATTGAAAGTTGTATGCAAATTGTTTCTAAACCTCTTTTTCCACGTCGTTTCACTAAAGCGACTACCATTACGTCTCTCCATGAACTCCCTGTAAGTTTCAGTCGCTTGTTTGTCACTGCACTCCATGTCGACAAATTTTCTTGTATATTTGGGACAGAGGTTCAAGATTCCATCCCAGTCAGAAATCGCCGCAGTCTGGAAGCCAGCCGCGGGTGAACTTGCCTGCGCCAACGCTCGCCCCAGCGCAACGCCAGGGTGATCAACAAAGACCTTAGACGAACTTGTGCCTCACAAAATGCTACCTGCGATAAATCATTCTCTGACATCTGTATAGTTAGTGCCTTGAAGATAGCGCCGTCATAGAACATGTACGAGTAAGAAGCACCTTAGGTCGGGTTACTCGGGTATCAATGTGACAGAATTCCCATGCTGCGCGTACCGGAACTGTCTAGTAGAGCTGAAAAAGTCCCTACATCATGAAGTAGAGATGCAAACTTGGGCGTCCATATCAATTTCTCACCTTAATTAACAATCCTCGTGTGGTGCAATAAGCAGAAATTTGACTGCATATCAGGTCACTCGATATCACTTCTGCACCCGATATCACTGCAGTTGCAGTAAGTGCCGTGGAATGAGTACTTGACTGTCCACCCGATTCCTCCGCGAATGTCGACAGCTTTGCAGGCAAAGTTAGTCGCGTTTAGCTGCACCTGTGACCAAAAATATGAGCTCACAGACGTGCTCAATTTCTACCGACTCTGTCATCTCGATTAGTTTCAAAATATCAGCTAATTTAATATAGAAGGAAAATAAATTTTTTTACGGGGGCACATTTATACATAACTCCGAAACAAAATGTTAATTTCAGATCATAATCATAACGTTTAACTAGAGTCGAGTGCATTGGCAACGGAGGCAAAAGGCAAGCCGCAAGCGTGCCTTTCGATAGCAATGCAGTAAGTTAGGCTGGAGATGAATCCTTAACGAAAAGCAGTGTTTCATGACTTGCAGTAACCAAAATTTCCCCATGACAGTTGCGCATGAGACCTTAAACCGTATGAAAATACAAATACCTTAAATTCTGACTTTTTTCTGTTCCTTACCTCCAATATTTATCCAAAATTAACCGAATTCTTTCATGTTTGCTGCACCACACATCCCCGGTACTTCCTGCACCAGTATAATATATAGACGCTAGAGCGTAGACTGTCCGGCGCATGCGCACTGCACAGCGCGGCCCGCGCATGCGCAGGGCAGTTACTTGCATTTGAGAAGCATGTGAGTTCTACAATACGTTCAGTCGTATTCGTTACCGTTTGGCGTTCATTTGGTATATCTATTATTTTGTGCATTTATTTTTATTTTTACTTTCAGATCATTCACCGATTTCGCGTTTTCATCGAATTTATGTCAATTAACTGAATACACATGATACTGGATGGAACTAGTTTCACAAATACTGGCGACATGGATTTGCTGTAGTATAGAATAGCACTGTCGAAAATAAAAAATGTAGAAAATAAAGAATCATGTAAACCTCATAATATTAGAGAAATCAAATTAGTGAATAATTCAATCCGTTTCTTCCGGTATAAGCTACACACGAATATTCATGCCTAGAAGGTTCTTTCAATGTTCCTCCGCCTTCCTCACCCTGCACCCCTTCCTCTCCCTGACTCCTCAAAGCTTGAACCGTTACCGCTGGCATATTCGACGTAGGCCGCGGCAGAGGTGCAGCCAGTTGCCTGCCGCTGCTTTTGCCGACCGAGGCATCGCGCTGTTCGAGGCAGATGCGGCCATATCATCGCTAGACTGCTTGGGCGCGAGGTGAAGTCGGCAACAACGGCCTAGATTTGCGCGTCTGCGAACGTCTCTGCGGCGAACGGCCGCAATGACTGCGAGATACTGGGGGGTTACGTGTTGGGTGTGGTGGGTGACGTGTTGGGTGTGATGGGTGACGTGTTGGGTGTGATGGGTGACGTATTGCATTTGATGGTGACGTGTTGGGTGTGATGGGTGACGTGTTGGGTGTGATGGTGACGTGTTGGGTGTGATGGGTGACGCGTTAGTCAGACGCCGACTAACGCTGATTGTCGCGGGTGAAAGCCTAGCGAAGTTATGGCCAAATGAAAACTTTTTTTTGCCTTTTTTTGGCTTTGATGGTCACGTTGTGGTTGCCCGCAGGTCGCCATGTTGCTGTTGTACCTGTCCTCCTGCGACATGGTCGTCCATCTCTTGTGGTGGTGGACATGGAGGCCGCGGCCCTGAGGGGGGCGCCGTGGGGGGCGCTCGTGGCGGCGGCGGGGGGCGTGGGGGTCAGGCTGACGCTCCGCCCCCTCCACGCCTACGAGCCTCACGACGACCTCCTCCAGCCGCTGCACGACAGCGGGTAAGAACCTGTAGGTGCATGTAAGAACCTGCAGGTGCATGTAAGAACCTGTAGGTGCATGTGAAAACCTGTAGGTGCATGTAAGAACCTGAATGCAAATAGATGACAAATAAATTTGGTACATAAAGGAAACTCATGCTTCAAATTCATCTAAGCACTTCGATCAAAATAAAGTTCAAATAATACAAATAAATAGAAAAAACATCGGGTAATACTAATTTTGAATTGATAGAAATATCTCAGCATTTGCCCTAAATAAGGCGTTACGTGTTACGTGTTTACGTATTGAACAAATTAGAGTAGAACTACTATGCTGTCAATAGTAGGTCATGTAAGGCCAGCAAGCCTTCTAATAATTCAGTTGTATACCAGATTCCACCAAATACAGTTCCCTAAACCTATGGTCTCATCTCTGCTCATCTTCATCCTTATAGCTAGCCTGGACTTAGTCATACGACTAGCAAACGTAACAATTCCTATTAATGAAATATTGTATCTTCGATTCTTCCTCACATCAATATTGCCATTCATTGACATAAAATTTGACTAGAGCATACAAAGACCTTAGACGAACTTGTGCCTCGCCAAATGCTACCTGCGATGAATCGTTCTCGGACATCTGTATAGTTAGTGCCTTGAAGATAGCGCCGTCTTTGAACATGTACGTACGAGTAAGAAGCACCTTAAGGCTTAGTTAGGTCGGGTATCAATGTGACAGCATTTCCACGCTGCCGCTGCGTGCACAGTAACTGTCTAGTAGAGCTGAAAAATACCCTTCAATAAAGGCCTTCATCATGAAGTAGAGAAGCAAACTTGGGCATCCATTTGATTTCTCACCTTTATTAGCAATCATCGTGTGGTGCAATAAGCACAAATTTGACTGCATATCAGGTCACTCGATATCACTTCTGCACCCGATATCACTGCAGTAAGTGCCCTGGAACTTGACTGTCCACCCGATTCCTCCGCGAATGTCGACAGCTTAGTCGGGTTAGTCGGCAAAGTTAGTCGGGTTTTGCTGCAATCAACATTTGCCTGCAACAAAATGGATTTCATCAGTTTTAATCATNAACAGTCGGGTTTTGCTGCATTCAACATTTGCCTGCAACAAAATGGATTTCATCAGTTTTAATCAGTGAACCTGTGACCAGTAATACGAGCTCACAGATGTGCTCAAGTTTACTGACTCTGTCATCTCGATCAGTTCCAAAATATCAGCTAATTTAATATTGAAGAAAAATTTGGTTTCTCGAAATTTTTACGGTGACACATTTATACATAACTCCGAGACACAAAGTTAATTTCAGATCATAATCATAACGTTTAACTATAATTGAGTGTATTGACAACGGAGGAAAAAGGCAAGCGTGCCTTTCGATAGCAATGCAGTAAGTTAGGCTGGAGATGAATCCTTGAACAAAAAGCAGTGTTTCATGACTTGCAGTAACCAAAATTTCCCCTTGACAGTTGCGCATGAGACATTAAACCGTATGAAAATGTAAATGCATTAAATTCTGACGTTTTTTTCTGTTCCTTGCCTCCAATTTTATCCAAAATTAACCGAATTCTTTCGTGTTCACTGCACCACACATTCTCGGTACTTCTTGCACCATTGTGGCTAGAGCGAAGACTGCCCGGGGCATGCGCGGCAGTCTTCGTTGCCGCGCAACTGCCCCGACGTACGTTTCTCTCTAACATCTCGAGCTTCTGAAATGTATTGGTTCTTTCAAAAATTTTTGATGTAATCACTGGATGTTACACAAGAAATGAATAATTATGATGTTTGTAATTATGGATATGGATTAACAAATATTATAAAAAATAGGTTAGTAGTCCAAGACATGTATCATCCTGTCTTGCTTTCTGATTTCACTACGCGAATTCGTCTTCAACGCAAATTTATTTTTCAGTTTTTTAATAATACTCTGTTGTGTGAATATTTTTTTAAACATAGCAGTTTTTTTGTTTTTTCATTCAAGAACCGTAAACTTAACTAATGTCATTCGTGGATGTTTGGAACGAGTGAATGCTGTCTTAAATATTTAGTAGCAGTTATAATAT